TTAATAATCCATTTTGTTCACTTCCCACACTTTCCATTTTTTGAAGTCCCCACCCCAGGGGCAAGGATGGAAGAATTCAAAGTCTACATCTCACAATGGTATTTGGTGACTAATATGATGCTAAATGCAAAGCCTGTTTCCATAAGTGAAAGACATTTAATCTTCTCAAAAAATTTGAGAGATTAGTGAAACTGAGTAAGGGGAAAGGAGTAGGGCATAGATATTTATTAAGTGCCTACTATGTGTCCAGCACTGTGCTAAGTGCTTTACAGATATCATATCATTTGATCAGCATAGGACCTGATCTACAAGAAACAACTGAGGCTGATGAGTGGAAAATTAAGTTCACATGGTAAGCTCTAACTTAATGACTCAAGATGTCTACTTGGGTTGGACTTCTATGTCAAACTCTAAGAACAAGAACAGGCCCACAGCCTCCCAATGGCATTTATCTTTGGTACTTTCTCCACTTCAACCATTAATAGCCAGTGCTTAATCTGTTTCTGTACGGATTCCTGTCCCCTAACTACAATCTACCCAAGACATATTACTCCTATTGGATACTGATGGTGTTGCCTTCCCCTATTTGTCCTCATTCCAAATTGTTGCATTTCCTACCCCCCCACCAAGCCAATAAAATCTTCCACCATCCTCCACCCCACCCCATCCAATCCTTTACTTTCTCTCCTGTCAGATTCATCCCTCTGCCCAACTCCCTAACCCCCATTTTGGCAAATATGGAGGCTAGCAGATTATACTCACTCTGTGATGAAACCATTACCACCTGCTAATATTTTTATAGAATTTTATTAATTTGGTCATTCATGAATCATTTACAGTACTTTATTCCAATGAACAGTTCACAAATCACTCAAATGCTGGCAAAAGGCATAATAATGAGTAATATTTCAAGGAGCTTTGCATTAATATGTCAGCTCCCAATTCTGTGAGACCTAAATTATTTTTCCAGGTGCCATTGTAGACCAGGCAGCTGCAGAAGTACATTTCCTTATTTTTTTTGAGGCAGGTGGAAGGGGGGAAGGAAGGGTAGAGAGTGAATAATAATTGTGGACCTTATAGGACAGAGACAGAGTGACAAAATAAAATAAATTAACTAACCAATAAAACTCCATGCCTTATACCAATAACCCAAGTTGTTAGTGAGTTCGGAGGCACAGAAAAAAAAAGATGAGGAAATAGGAATTTATAGAACTGATTGTCAGTTTCTTGGCTAGGAGGGAGTGAATACTAAGCAATTCATCTTGATAATCTTAAAATATACACATTTAGGCGTGAGATATATATATATGTATATATATATATACACATATATATATACATATATATGTATATACTAGATAATTTCTTATCAGAAAGATACCAAAGGATTTTAATTCAACAGTTTGCATGTTAGATCTAGAAAGCATAGTTAATTAGGGGTTCAAATATTCTTAGCACTTAATAATTTAGAATAATAAGGATCAATAAGTGGTAGGAATACACTCCCCTCTCCCCCCAAGTTAACAATTTTTGTCTTGCTTTGGAATCTGTTAAATTGAAACTACAGCAGGGGAAACTGAGAAAGAGACCAATGGAGATTCAATCTATATGCCAATGTTTCTGATCATTTCTGTGCATTTCCTTTCATTTTCTTTCCAGAGGCAGGTTTGCCTCTGACCAGAAAAGAAAACACTGAAATAACTCACAGAATTCCCTGGGCTCAAAAAAACCTGCTTCTAAATAGATATGAAAAGTTAATAGGAATTCCATTTTTTTTTTGCACAAAAAGAGAATCAATTAGAAGAGATGCACTAGTACTTCCAGAGTCAGGAAGTGAGGCAGCAAGGGCTAGAATGATCAGGGGACAGCCTGGAGCCAAGAAATCCAGGAGCTCAGCCATGACCATTCTTTATCTTGCCTGGGGTAGGTCTTAGCACTCCAGGAATCCAGATGAGAAAGGAAGTAACCTAAGGCTTAGATCAGTCCCCTGCCACTCTATGTCTGGTCCTCTCTGAAAGGCATGAATCTTAATGTATTTTCCATCAGGAAAAAAAAAAAGCTACCTTGTTAACTTTCACAAGTTGTAAAAATCAGAAGTTTTCTTAAAAATTCTCCTCTCTGGAAAATCACGGTAAATTCACTGGATAGCAAAGAAAAAAGTTTTCTTGGTGTCAGAAAATTCAGGGCATTAGGTTTTCTAGAGATTGGGCTATCACCACTCCTATCTGGTCAGCAAACCTATACTATTCAATGTAGTGTCTTGCTAGTCTATAAATGAGGTCGTAGATCCTTAACTTATCTGCCACTTCAAATCTTTCAACCAGACCATGAGAATCCAAGAACTGCCACATTGATTCCTAGTCATGGTTTGCCCAATCAAGAATCCTGTCTTTAAATTTGGTATAGTATAAGGGTTGATGTTCTCAGAAACATCAGCCTCAGAAGGAAAGGCCCTAAATGATCCCTAAGCCATCCTTAACAGTTAATCATTGAATATTTCTTTGAATTTATTTACTCCCTATGACATATAAGATTTCAGTCTACATAACCGCTGGAAATAACTACTGTCTTGGACAACTTCAGTCTCACTTTCCATGATCAAATAAGATAATCCATGTGAAAGAATTTGGTAAAATTAATTTGTTGTTCAGTCACGTCCAACTTTTCATGACCCTATGGACCGTGCTACCCATGGAGCTTTCTTAGCAAAGATACCAGAGTGATTTGCCATTTCCTTCTCCAGTGAATTAAGACATGCATAGGTTAAGTGACTTGTCCAGGATAACATAGCTAATAAGTGTCTGAGGACGGATTTGAACTCAGGTCTTCCTGATTCGAGGTCCAGTGTTTTATCCACTGAACTACCTAGATGCCTCCTGGTAAAATTAATAGTTACATAAATATGTCAGATACTTGTATATGTTCACAGACTATAGGACTGCAAGAGACCTTTTAGATCATCTAGACCAGCCCCTTAATTTTTAAATTACACTGGGGCAGCATTTTATCCACTGCACTAGTGCAGTGGATAAAAGATAAAAGTGGATAAAAGAGCACCTCCCTCGGAGTTTGGAGGACCTGAATTCAAATCTGGCCTCAGACACTTACAAACTGTGTGACCCTGCGCAAATCACTTAAGCCTGATTGCCTCCATTTTTTAAAAGTATATTTTATTTTTTAATGAGCAAAAACATACCATCTCACCTTCCTATACCACTTCCCTCCCCAAAAAATAAAATCTACCCTTAATTTTACAGATGAGGAAACTGAAAACCAGAGTGCTCAAATGATTCTTTTGAACAATAAACATCAGATATGGGATTTGAACTCAAGTCTTCTTGACTCCAAATTTTGTGTTTGTTTGTTTGTTTGTTTTTTATCATTCCCAATTGACCCTCCTCAATCATTATTATTAGTAATACCACACCGTTTCTCTTTCTCTCTGGCAAAGTCACACTTTTATTTCATTCATTATCCCAGGTAATATCACTTAGCTAAGAAGCCCTCCCTTCCCCAACTCAGTAAGTTTTCTCCCTTTCATTCTTCAAGTAAGTTTTGAAATTTCATATGGCCATTTGCAACTAATTGAAAGAGAGAGGCTTTTGAAAAACTGGAGAGCTGTGCAGTATAAATGAGTGCTACATTTATAGTCAAAGGACCAGGTTTGAATCCTGGCTTTGCCACTTAATGTTTGTATGATTTTGAATAAATAATTTACCCTTTGCTGGCCTCACTTTCCTCATCTGTAAAAAAAGAGGAGACTACACCACATGACCTTGAATTTCTCTTCCACCTCTAAATATATTATCTTATTGTCTGTGTACATGTGATAAGAAAAACCAAACTCAGGAAAGTGGTGCTAACTGCCAAAACTCTGATGGAATTGGGAAGATAATGGAAGTTAAATATTATCTGTCTTGGGCAAAAAAAAATCATAATAATGGCCTAGCTCTTTTATCCTTAGTACCCAGTTACAAAGTAATAAGATCCAACTTAATGAAGCAATTGTTTAAAAGATTAGAGATACATGGAAAGTAAAGCAGAATCAAAGTGGTCCCCTGATGATTTCTGTCACTGGGACTCAAAATTTCCAGATTCAAGTTCACTCTGTGTTCCCACCATTTAAGCTAGACTAATAGGATATTTCTGGTAGCCCTGACACTTTATTTTCTACATGTATCAGACAGAGATCAATCTGTCTCATTTGCCAAAGTGCTTTCTGCCCATCACCTTGTTATTAACAGATTGGAACACTTTGAAGAGACCTCTTTAGCAAGGCTTCTGAGAGGGTGGAAGGTATGCTGAAGATACCTGGATCTCATTGAATAGTCACAGCATGGCATATCTCTCAGCCTAAAGCAATGTCCAACTCCAAGTAGAATCTCAACCACCAATACAACAAGGTGCTCAAGATTTTCTATTGCAAGTGAGTCTTAGGCTCTCTATCCTTCTGTTGATCATCATTAGAATAGATATAGTTTTAGTGAATTGAATGGTGCATGCCACTCCAAAGGTGAATGGTGAGTTAGATTATTCTTGAGGGGTAGGCATACTTAACATGCCCTTAAAGGAAAAGCATTAGCACCAAGACAAATTAATTGGGGTGCATGACAAAGATTGGAGGAACTCAGAATAACTCTATTGTCAGAGTGGGGAGTAGGAAAGGAGTAGAGTCATCTTGAATGAATTGAAGAAATCCTGGCATAGAACAAATGTGACCTGCTGAGTCTTTCATATGACTGACTTTTACCTTTTGATTTCATGTGGATACCAAGGCCACTCTGAATCCTGGCCCTAACTCCAAACATATGAGCTATTGATTATAGGGACAGTGGCAAACACATTGCTTGGCACTCTCTATTTAGTAGTAGCCTCAGGGAGAGATATCCTATATCAACAGGTTTGGTGAGGCATAGGAAAATTCAAAAGCAAAAATACAAAGCAAACTCAAAAAAAAAAAAAAAACCAGCTATTCAGTATGGGAACCAAATGGAACTTACCTGATAAGTTGCCATTATTTCTCTATCCAAAGTCCGCATCACTGAGATGCTCCCTGTATTTTCGTTGATTCTGAAAATGCCTTTTGGCTCTTGATCCACACCTTTTCCAGTAAGTCGGAATTTGGACCCTTCTGGTCGATCATTATCCACAACCTATGTCACAGAAGCAAATGAAATAGAATAAAATAAAATAAAATTATGAATTTGGATACAACTGAAAACAAACTTCATATTCCAGTTGTAAGCCAGTGAATCATAGCTGCTAATTTCAGATTATAACACTTGTAACATAGAGGATGGTTGGACAAAAAAATAACAAAATAACACTAGACTTCAACGTCCAGCATGATAAAGAGCTATTTAGTCTGTAGTTTCAAGTATCCTCTTTTGGATGACCAAATGAATACAAATTTATCCAGACTACTAGATAGATCTAGATCACTGGGCAAATATCAGACCATGCTTCACAACCACTCTAGCCATCTGACCTGCTGCACTTGTATTTATACTTCTCCTCTTTCTTTCCCCTACTTCTCATCCCTTGCTTTGGGCACATAAATCAATAACATCACTCTTTCTGGAAAGAACTTGACATTTACCGGCTGTGTGGATCAAGTCACCATACCCATCATTCTGCAGACCAAAACTTCCTTCCCTAGCCACCATTCCTCTCTGTATATTTGTTGTGTCCTCCTATTGAAGCATAAGCTGCTTGAAGTCAGGGACCCTCTCATTTTTTTTATATTTGTATTTTTGGGGCTTAGTACACTGTCTGATATATGGTAAGCACTCGATAAATAATTTATATTCATTTATTCAAACAGAAATTGAGGCAAACTGAGAATGTGGGGGAAATTCTGCAAGATGAGAACAATAGCCCCAAAGGCTATAGACTGACTTGAATGTTTCATAGAATCCGTCTATTGCCAAGGACAAGCAAACAAGGGAATGACCTGGACAATTTGGACATAACACATAAATTATCTCAAGAATCCAAATAGATTTCCTTGGAGAAACATACACACTCATGATGTCTACTGAATAAAGTAATAATGATTAAGCACTCATTTCCTATGTATTCATAATGGTTTAACTTTAAGATATTAAGAATGGGTGATTTCATAGGCATGGACACACCCTCTCACTGATACAGAATCCAACCTTATATGCATACAAGAGAGTCTTCGGCTATGGCTAAATGAATAGCTCTATAATCACCCACCTCTCCCAAATTAATTACTTTGGTCTTAATACTCATAATGTTAACCCCCAAGCCTCTACTAAAAATATTTCTTACCCCCCTTTAGTAGAATATAGCAAAGGGTTAATCTTAAAGGTCTGGTCTTTGAGATCCCATAATTACCTCCACATTACAACAAGGCATTAGAGGAGGTCTTTCATAGGCAGAGGTGCACCTAATATTAAGAAAAAATGTCATTTGAAGCAAGATTTAAAAGAAATGTAATCATATGGGTAGAAATGCAAGCTTTCTGATTAAAACTTTTTTAAAAACTGTTTAGTTTAATTGAACTCTCCACAGCCTAATTAGAATTCACAATGAAATTTCCCACTATTGGAAAGGAGCCTGATCTGGACTTCTCCCTGCTCCTCCTGAGTCACCCTATGATAATGTCTCTCTGGCAGCCTTAGGCACTTCACCTTACTTCTTTGCTTAGAATTTCAGAAAAAGAAACACAGAAAAAGACAAACAAAACTCTGGGTCTATAAAACACCACCTTTAAGTCTTTCTGGACATTTCTAGCCAGGCTCTAAGTGACCAAATAAGAATGCAGAATCAGGTAACTAGTCAAACAACTTTCATGTCTGAGCAGAAAGGAATGAATGAGGAAAAGTAGCTCTATCTGCCATGTCTTCCATCTCCTCTTTTTCTATAGCTCACACCTGTCTGGTCAGCTCTTCTAATAAAGTTCAACTTATAGGGAGTCCTATTCTTCCCATGGCCAAGCCTTGAATTTGAGAATTCAGACACTTGCTGAAACTATCCATTTGGAGACATTTTTGTTCCTTTGTTTCAGTCTTTCCAACTTAAATACATAGATCACAACAATGCAATTTATTGCGAATCACATTTCCTACGAATCTGTGATGACCAAACCCTTATGTTTAAAAAACAGTGCCTTCCCCACAAAATCCTCAGAGTATGGAGGGATAAAGTGAGTTTAAGGGTAATTGCTACATAATGCAGACAGCACACAGGTCATGTTCATCAGATAGTGTAAACACCACATAGTCATGCTTTTTTATTGTCATGGTGGTGGCAGGGATGACTAAAAAATGAGTATTTAATAGACAGGGACTAGAAAATGCCTGCATGGTTCAAGAGCATTTATTATAAACAGATCAATAGAGCACAAGTTCTACGGGCTGTCAGCTGGAATATGGAAATGCACACCATAGCCAATTTGGACAGGTTATGTTGTAAAAGTTTGTTTTTATGTCTCCTGTTTAGAACCTAGAACACATTTCTCTATGGAAACAAGGTTATAAATGGTGGTTCCTCGGCAAGCCCATGGAAATCCAACATAAAATGTAGCTAAAATACATGGCATAAACATGAGGGTGTAAACTAGCTAGGAATCTAACCATTGTTTATAATCTCATTTGTATGGGGGGAAATGAGCTCTTAGTCAAAACTCAGGAGGCTGAGAAAGAGTTGTAAGACCTTGGTTTGTAGCTCTCCTCTGCTGAGTGACCTTGAGCACATCTTTTTTCCATAATAGGCATCAGTGTCTCCAACTGTAAAATGAGAAGGTTGGGTTATACACTCTGACATACCCAATCTAATGATGTATCCTATTACGATCTCTGATGGTTGCACTCCGAATTTCTTCTCCTTCTCTGATATCCTTCATTTAACTACAGGTAGTAGGTGGCTGGTCATAGGCTTAAAGACTTTGCTGAATGATCAGAGTAAGAATTCCCCACTCCCTCCCACCTGTACCCTACCCCCACCTCCAGCAGGCTTGGCCAAAGTGAATTGTTGTTTAGTTGTTTCAGTCATGTCAAACTCTTCATGATCCTGTTTGGGGCTTTCTTGTCAAAGATACTGGAATAGTTTGCCATTTCCTTCTCCAGGTCATTTTACAAATGAGGAAACTGAGGCAAAGAGGATTAAGTGGCTTGTCCAGGGTCACACAACTGCTAAATTTCCAAGGCCAGATTTAAACTCAGGAAGATGAGTCATCCTGACTCCAGGCCCAGAACTATATCTACTGCACCACCTACCCCCAAAAAGTGACTGCATATACAGTATCAAGAGAAGGGATACATGCATCAAGATGGGAGGAAAATACATTTGTTTCCTGAGAAGTTTCTCCGCCCCCCTCCCCCAATCAATCCATGTTCACTAGGGTAGCCAAACATTAAGAATCACTTGTGATTTCATGGGATTTTAACTAGAAATACATCAATTCTTCAGACCCGTCATCATAGGACAGCAGAAGTACTAGATTTTAGAATCAGAAACCTGATTTTCAATCACAGCTTCCCTACTTGGCATCTATTTAACCTTGGACAACTAACTCTCACTGAGTCATAGTTTCATCCTAGGTAAAAAAAAAAAAAAAAGAATTTGACTATATGATGTCTCTCTTCCCTTCTGGTGCTACTTTTATGATTTTCTGAATGGAAGTTCCTTGAGGACAAATACTTTCATTTTTGTATTTGTATTCCCAACACTTTTGTCTTTGTATTCCCAACACTTTTGTCTTTGTATTCCCAACACTTTAGCACAGTCGCTAAGATGTAATGAGCACTTATTAAATGCTTGGTTATCATAGGATCATGATGTAATAAATATAGAATTGGAAGAAACTTTGGAAGTCTTCTAATCCACCCTTCCCATTTCATGTACAAGGAAACTGGAACACAGAGAGATTAAGGGAATGGCCAAAGTCACAAAGGTAGTGACAGAGTCAGGATTCAAATCCAGGTCTTCTGACTCCAAACCCAGAATTCTTTATACTACACCACCCTTTTCTGAATGACTTCCTCCTGCTTTCCTGCATAGCTAAGACTTGGTGACAGCATAAACACGTAAGGAAATGGTTTAGGACTATGGCACAAATACCCTAACCGAGCACAAGGAGGAATGGATGTTGAATACTGAAGGTATGAATTGGAAAGTAAGTGTTCTTCAGGGGAAAGGGTAGACAGAGCCCATAGAATCTGCTTTGGCCGATATTTCCTAGGAATAGTAACACTTGCCCAGGGCCCCTTGAATGACAGAATTGATTCTGAGTTAAACTAAGGCCCTGAGGGAAGAGAGAGTTTTCTTCCATCACTAGCTATTTTCTACAGCGCCTCTGTGTTCCCAGGAGGGGTCTTAGGGACTAACCCAGTCTGCCCTTGCTTAGCTGAGTAGATCTGATGGGATCAGAAAGGAGTAAGGTTTGTGAAACACCTATGAAACAACAAACTAGCCCTTAGTCATTCATCCAAAACCTACCAGGTGAAGCAAGCCAGTTTCCAAATGACCTCCATTATACTGTGTTAAACTCCCTAAAGTTTCCAGGAGGCTGCTGGGCTACCCTCATAGGGAGGCAGGTGGTCTTTTGCTCTTCTTTTTTTCTTTTTTAATGTAACAGAATATAAGAAAACTCAGGTATTGCTTTTAGACAGAATAAATCCAGCAGTGTGCTGAGGTGTGAATATCTGCTAATGTTTTAGCTGCTAACTCCTATTATATCACAAAACAGGCTTTCACAATTAGAGTCTCTCTCCTATTATTCTGTGTAATTCAATACCACTTTTCACTGTGGCTTTTTTTTTCATTTTTAGTTTAAAGGAGAAAGAAAGCTAATGATAAGGAAAACTATCTATCATTCCTAGGTGCCAGCAAATGCAGATATGCAAATCCCAGAATTCACTTTTTTCATCACTTGTATGAAGTGACTTCATCTCACTGTGGTAGTGACCGGTTAGAAAAGGCCATTTATCATAGTTTAACAGCACTGGCAAGGATAGAGCTGTGTCACAAGGAGGGAAAGCCATATAAAAGTAAAAATTGAGAGAAAAGGTTATGCCTACCCTTCGACCTTGCCCTGATAGGGCTGGGGGAGGGGCTTTTCCTCATGTCCATCATCGATCATCTTCCACATATTCACCCTAACTCCCTGAAGGTTTCTTGGTTT